GGGTCCTATCCAATCCCGAAGTGGAGGATTGTGGCCTGCAACACAGGAAAAGCTGTAAGGAAATTATCACGTACCATCGAAAGTACGACTCATAGCGGGACAGAAAGAAGATCGTGACGTACCTCCCAGCTACATGAGGTCTCCAATAATTTAATGGGATCCACGAACACGTGTGTGCGATATGATAACGATCATGTTTCTGCCAATCTCCGAGGAATGTCACTTGTATATGTCTTCGAATGCGAAAGATAGCTGGATGATTTCGCAGAGCCACCATCAAATGGGGTGAACCATAGACATCCGAACAAGCCGGAGGTTGGTAAACCAAAAAAAGAAGACGTGTGGTGTATCCGACAGAAACTGCTGCGGACGGGAAATAGGGAATCGCGAATGGAAAACACCATCAAGTTCTGAGTTGACGACATTGAAAAAAAGATGTCGATGAAATATACACCGTTCGATTTTAGATGAGCTTGCGAGTCTACAAAAGATTAATTGCATCAATAGCGAGCTCAGCATATTTCTGAAGCACTCACCGTCCCCGCGCCCCGCGCCGTAAGTGGGATATGCTCTCTCCACCGCCGAGGTCGCAAGTGAGAGAGCAGTGGTGAGTGCTGTCATCTTGTCATCGTGATTTCGTCATGCTCACGGCAACTTCCGCAGATCCGTTACACTGGCGACGTCGTGAGACATCCTCCTTGTCTCTTCTCACAACGTCGCCAGGTATGTCCTCGAAGATTTTCCCCTTTTCTCTTCTCACAACGTCGCCAGAGATTGTTTATTTCGCGCTTATTCTGAATATTTCTCATATTCCATCAACTCTGTCTCTTCCATCGACCTCGTCTCAATTAATGCCCCCTAAAACGACATCATCACAATCTTCCCATGCCGGCGGTACTCTCTCCATTGATCGCATCACTGGCGCACAGAGGCCGCAACCGCCATCTTCGGCACAAGCTTCAACTTCTATTTCTTCTGGCGGCCCTACTCCCACTGTTACTACTCAACCTCAGGCTAGCGCATCTGCCGCCGGTCAGGCCCCTGTTTCCGACAACTCCAACACCACTCCTCTCACACCTCAGGCCAATGTCGTTAACGAGTCCCATCAGTCAATGCACGATATTGTCACTCAGTACCGTGAAGGGAAACTCACCCGGAAATCTGCCGAAAAGGGGTTGGCGAAGATCTTCCGCACGAGTAGCGAGACTCTCGGACTTCGATTGTCATCTGACCAGGTCCGGGATGGCATTGGCGGATGGCTCATATCATTGGACGACCATGATAAGGAGGTCAAACGTGGGAGAGACGCCGGGAACTCAGTCGCAGAGGCTCTTGGGTTGGATAAAGAGGGCCGTAACGATGGTACTGAACGTGGAGACAAAGGAAAGCGGCGTCAACGCAGTCCTGATCCAGACCCAGAACCTTCCTCTCCCTCATCTTCAAGCTCGTCTGAGGACGAGAAGGATCATGATGACCGGGATCACCGCCGTAATCACCGCCGTAACCACCGAAAGCGTAGTCCCTCATCCTCACGTTCACCTGCACCGAAATCTCACAAGCGACGTCGCCGAGACCCTTCTCCTTCCTCCTCTGACAGTTCAGACTCCTCATCTGATTCATCCCATCATTCGTCCCATCATTCCTCTCGAAAGAAGCCAAAGCTCAACAAGCGACTTTTCCCCTTTTTGTCTGCCAACAAGACATACCTTCAGAAGCTCCGCAAGAGGCACGGGAGACGTGAGGTTATTTGTCGGCAACTCGAGAACTACTCCCGTGATCCAAAGGAAGCTGCAAGACGCATCATGTATTCCAAGAATGCTCCGCCACTCGTTCTCGATGAGTGGAAGACTGTCCTACCTGGGGACTACACAGATCTTGATGCGATCTTTGTCCGTATGCATCCTTCCCACTCTGCTTCCTCGATACAGACCCAGAGTGATTGGGCTGAAGCCTGGTCATATCTACGTCGTGGCATCAATCATGCCTTTTCTTTTCGGGAGGATGAGCTTCGTGAGTACGAGGATTATCTCCTCTCCAGCTTCCGCACACGCCAGTCCTCTTTCCATGCGAATATTGTCGCATTTGATCGCGATAATCGCCAGAATGTTCTGGCTGCCAACAAGGGGGTGCTCTTCACCGATTTTCACCACTTCTCTCAAAACCGTGAGGCTTGGCTCGAATCCACTGGCATCAACAACATCACCTCCTCTTCCCGCCGACAGAATAACGCACCACGACGCCAGGAAATTTGTCGCAACTGGAATTACCGTCGGTGTGCTGATGACAAATCCTGTCGTCGACGTCACGTTTGCCTTTCTTGTGAGTCTCCGAACCACGTCCGTGATGACTGCAAGGGTGGTCCATCATCACTCCCAAAGTCCGAGCGCAACTAATGCAACCTGTGATGTTTGTGAGAGCTGTCTTCGGCGTGATGCCAGGTCATGCTTAATCATTCAAAGCTCTTGCTACGCTCTTCCTACTCTCCATATCCTCTCATCTCCATTTCTCCCTGGCGACGTTTGTGAGAGTTGTTCTCGGCGTGATGCCAGTTCATGCTCAATCATTCGAAGCTCTCACTCCCCTTTTCTCTCCATGCTTAGACCCCCTCGGAATACGCTGGGGGCATTGTCATCATGACTCCTCCACGTGCGGTTCGTCGGGTCCGCCATAAACCGACTTGGTCACGTGCCAAACTTGACCAACAACGCAACACTGTTCTAGGTCTTGCAATCGACTCTTCTTCCAATAGCACTTATCGCTCAGCCCTTAATTCCTGGTTTAAATTTGCTCTACAACACGATTTCCCTGCCGAACCCAATTCAAACTCCTTCAGCTACTTTGCTGCTTACATGTGTTCCTTCATCAATCCCAAGAGCGTCAACAAGTACCTCTCTGGGATATGCTACCTTCTAGAACCATTCTATCCAAACGTACGTGCCGCTCGCTCTCATCCCCTCGTTCACCGTACTATGAAGGGCTGTCGCCGTCTATATGGCAAACCAGCTCAACGTAAAGCACCCCTGACAAAGAACCAACTCCGGTTTGCAATGCTTTCACATCCTCCCCACCCTTCCTACAATGACTGTCTCTTCCTTACTCTCCTATTTGTTGGGTTCTTTGCCTTACTCCGTCTAGGAGAAATGGTAGCCCCCGACGCAGTCCTCCTTCGCAATTCCCGCAAGTACTCGCTTCGCTCATCTGTAGAATGGCTCCCAGAAGGGTTCTCTTTTTGGCTTCAGCGCCATAAGACTGATACCCTTTTTGAAGGGAATAAAGTTATTGTACCAGATCGACTCGATGATCTCAATCCACGGCCTATTATCCAAGCCTATATGACGCTTCGTGATGAACGGTTCATACTCTACCCATTCCTATGGGTGAAGTCAAATGGTAAGGTCCCTACTAGGCGGTGGTTCATCAAACGGCTTCGCCGTCTCTTTCCAGATCCTTCCTTTGCAGGACAGTCACTCCGTTCTGGTGGGGCAACTGCCTTGGCTGAAGAGGGAGTTCCTCCTCATCTCATTCAGGCAGCTGGGCGTTGGTCATCAGAAGCATTCCACATATACATACGCAAGCACCCTGTCATTCTTCAAGCACATCTTCGACAGTGATGGCCGCCATCGCTCCCCACCACCTGCCTAACTCCATCGTGAGTCTTCATCATATGGCTTCGCCATTCCTCTATCTCTTTTTCTTCTTCTCAAAAGGCTTCGCCTTTTCTCCATGGTGCCACGCACCTCTCATTACATGATGGCCTCGCCATCATCTTCACGAGGCTTCGCCTCTCTGGTGCCTCGCACCTTTTTCTTCTTTAGCCTATTAGCCTATTCCTCACGATGTCGAATCAGAATGGGCCCCAACTGCCGAAGTTGCGGGCCTGGTTTATGCTAATACGGTGTGCAGTGAGCGTTGATTAGCAATTGGTCGATTTTAGATGAGCTTGCGAGTCTACAAAAGATTAATTGCATCAATAGCGAGCTCAGCATATTTCTGAAGCACTCACCGTCCCCGCGCCCCGCGCCGTAAGTGGGATATGCTCTCTCCACCGCCGAGGTCGCAAGTGAGAGAGCAGTGGTGAGTGCTGTCATCTTGTCATCGTGATTTCGTCATGCTCACGGCAACTTCCGCAGATCCGTTACACTGGCGACGTCGTGAGACATCCTCCTTGTCTCTTCTCACAACGTCGCCAGGTATGTCCTCGAAGATTTTCCCCTTTTCTCTTCTCACAACGTCGCCAGAGATTGTTTATTTCGCGCTTACCCACCCTATTTTTTATTGTCCCACCCTTATCTCTTTAATCTATCTACGGACCATTCCTCTACATACACGAAGCATCTATGGACACTTAACTTGGACTATCCATACACGACTTGTTTATATTCTACTTTATTTTTCTTCCTTGACAATTTGTTGCTTTTGACTCATGTATCTGCCTATTCCTCACGATGTCGAATCAGAATTCGACATCGTGAATGGGCCCCAACTGCCGAAGTTGCGGGCCTGGTTTATGCTAATACGGTGTGCAGTGAGTGTTGATTAGCAATTGGTCTTAGGTTCATCCATCATGGAAGGCAAGCATGATAACCACTTCACCAACGGTGTTTTGTTCATAAAAATACACTCACGCTGAATACTGCCCGCTACCCGTCAAGTTGAACACAGTCTTACCGCACCCTGCTCCACAACTCGATATCGAAAACCCAATCGAACTTGCTGTTGCACCCAACTATTCCCGGCGCCCAAGCTTGAGATGTATCCTCAATGACAAAAATATTGGTCTAAATCAAAATCATTGGCCACTTTGGCACCGTAATTGCGTGAATTGATCAAAACTCTATGTCGACTCATGCTCCCTGCAAGGTTCGAACTTGCCTTATCAAACCGGGTTGCGGGGCTCGAGATCTGACTCGGCTAAGGGAGCCTTGATGTATTGATTAATTATTTCTTCCAATGCTAGTAAATACAAGATGTCCGAAAAAGCAACCTCTCACTCTGTTATATACACCGTTCGGGAATCGAACCCGAGCCGCTTGCTGAGATTTCCACCAGCTAGTGACCTCCCTATGGAAGGCAACCATGGTAACAACTTCACCAGCGGTGTCTTAGTGACCGGTACCCTTGTTGCTTTCCACCTTGCTTTCACCTGTCAATGCGAATCACGAACTTGTATGTTTCCAGATCGCACAAAGACAAAGACTGCGGATGTCTCTATTACACATGGCAAGATATAGTTAGTCACTACCCCTGCGTACTCGAGATTTGGCCAAACTATCAGTCTAGTTCTATATATCTCCTCTGGGCTCTAGGAGCCTTGGTTATCACTGTCTGTCAGTGATAATGAATGTGAAATATCCGTGAAAGCAACCCGGACTACGATTATGGTTGATGCAACACCCTTTGGTGCAACCGTCTGAGTTTTGAATAATCCGAATTATATGGAGGTACGTACTGCGACGGCTGGCCAACATCGTAAGCAGATGTTCATCGCAGTGCTCCGAACGAAGAAATCAGCGTGATCATGCGTTGAAGATCCGGGCCAAGACACTTCGATAGCCATCATCGATGGTATACTGACAAATACTGAATATACGAAGCCAGATTCAAACCTTGCCAAAGGAAAGTGCGTTAGATGCCAGCGGAGAAAAAGTTAAGGGAACCCACGAACGTTGCGGCTGTCACAGTTCGGTACATCGCCCTTGACTTTGCACCCAAGTACGCGGTAACCTCGCGGCTCAGGAGGAGGATACGAAGTGCTGCGTCCAACGCGTCAGACTCTGAGGAACTTGGTAAAAATCAAACTCGGATGACGTGCCTATAAGAGCCGAAACTAATAGATTATTCAAGCCAACTACCGCCTGAGTAATCGCGACTGCCGCATCCTCAAAGGCGTGAACCTCAATTCTGGTCCAGTACATCAATGCATGGGGTACGATCCGAAAGTCCAAGACAAGCAGAGTGGCTACAATATTTAACAAAGAAGCGCAAGAAAACGGAAGGTGGTCCTTACTGTGACTTCCAACGGAAATTAGAAGGGGTACGATGACGATTTTCCAACGTCTTCCCCAAACTACGTAGCAGCGCCACAGCTACAAGATTGCGTAAGTTGACATAGTATTTATAGCGAGAACTAGGCAATTACTAAAATAAAATCTGCAACTGCACTGCTAATGCCATCAGCCACACTGACAATTATAAGCTTATATTGGACGAACCTAGACGTGGCCTTGAGATAAAATTGAGTATAGAACAGGCGGTCAATATCCTTGCTACTTGGTGGACAACTAATACACCAAGAGTAAGAGGCGCGCCGCCATTCATGAATCAGCTTCATACCTAGTACACCAAGTCAAGATGTCGGCGGTAATACAGACCCCAGTATCAGCCGTTGAAACGACAAACAAAATAATAGTCGCAACGAAAATTGGATTGAAACGAGAGACCCCTGGTCTTTTAGAGAGAATGTGCATAGAAAGCCCGAACAGCACCGTGTATACACCTGTGTTATGACAAATTAGTGTTGTGGCACTGTTGGCAAGTCATAACATGAACCATAGCAGAAGAATTGAGCCTAGTGGCTCTATTACGAGCCATATTATTGCACTTACCGCGGTGAGTGCAACTTGTGCAAGTATTTTGGCGTGAGGATCAAAGGCCATCGAAAATAACAATAAATGTTCTGGGAACATGCTCGCTTCTTAAGTGCTTGATTTCTAGACAGGTAGACTGAAACATGGGCCGTGACTTACCTGAACAGGCATTCAATAGCAATCAATCTCACTGCGAATGAAGTTTCAAATCAGTATCATGTTGAAAGGAAAGATTGTACCCGATCTTTCTCCAAAAAGAGTGACTCACCCGTATCCCCAGTTATCCGGCATGTGAGTCACGACCTTATCCACTACCCCATCCACAAACCCAAATATGCTATCGTCCCATTGGGGTAGTCTAACACGTGTACTCCCATAAAGCTGGAACGTGAAAAGACTATTTCGTCTCCCAAATGCCGTGGATTCGAGTGGAACGGAGTTGATGGCAGAATGGACACCACCGTATACCTCTATTTCAACAGCCCAAAACTGGTAGTACAAGCATCAGTATATATCCAAAGAAGCAAAGAGAAACACACGCGTCAATATCAAGACCGGCACCACTCAGATGTTCCATTAGTCCACTCATCGCGTTCTCGCTAACGCCGTTCTCATCGGTTATTAGCGACTTGGCGTAGAAAGTGTCCCGAGGCATATCCTGGGCATCCCCAGTTTCTAAATCCCCAGCTGCGGCGGCTCTAATAGTGTCGATCCAAGTTCCCTGCACAATGATGGAGTCATTGCGTGGCGGGGGTAGTGCATTTAAGAATGATTCGACGGTCTCATTATATGTCGCATGCGAACCGTAATAACTCCCGAAAAACATGACCGTCACAAGTCCTCGGGATGTACCCTTCAATATGCCTAGTTCACCCCTAAACTCAGCGGGGAACCCCGATGAAACAGCGTGAGCCTGGAAGGACTTGAATGTGGATGTGGCGAGTGAGACGTCCATGTCCCAGATATATTGAAAAATGGTCGGAGAGAAAAGATTCGTTTGAGCCATATTTACGACCCATCCAGTAAATCAGTCTACTGGTGAGTCCACATCTCCAAATCTAAACGCTTATGGTGTAATCCCGAGCCCAGGTATGCACACTTGGGCCATGGGCGTATGGCAACTGATGCCAGGCTTCATTGCCGCCGTTCAAAAGTCAACGATACTGTATCGCTCGGGTAGAGAAGAACCTATTACCTCTCGTGGCTATCGGGTCAGTACCTCTATTAGCATGCATCTCATCACTGAGTGTTCACGTAAGGATTCTTCTTGAGTAGTGCCACGTACATTATTCTCTGCAAGATCTCAAGGACCTCGAAGAAACCGACGAGGAGGATATATATGGGGCTTTCTAGCAAAGCAAAATAGGCAATAACGATCCTAATCAGGCTGACTACGATGGAGGAGAACTGAGCCACAGCGTCGAGTCTGACTATAAATTATCAGTCTAGTTCTATGTATGCCCTTGGTACTATTCCATCGTGATCTAGGAGCTGTGTTAATCATTATTCGTCGGTGATAATGATTGAGAAGTATCAGCAGCGAAAGCAACCCGGACTACGATTATGGTTGATGCAATACCCTTGAGTGCAACAGTCTGAGTTTCGAATAATCCGAAAAATATGGGGGTACGTACTGCGACGGCTGGCCAGCATCGTAAGCAGATGTTCACCACAGTGCTCCGAACGAAGAAATCAGCGTGATTATGTGTTGAAGATCCGGGCCAAGACAGTTCGATACCCATCATTGATAGTATACTGAGAAATACTGAATATACGAAGCCAGATTCAAACCTTGCCAGAAGCAATGTGTTAGACGCCAATGGAGAAGAGATAAAAAAATCCACGAACGTTGCGGCTATAGTGGTTCGGTACATTGCCTTTGGCTTTGCACCTAAGTATGGAGTAATCTCGCGGCTCATGAAGAGAATACGAAATGCTGCGTCAATTGCATCAGACTCAGAATATAGAATGGATGAAACTTGAATGACGTGCCTAAAAGGGATGAAACTAATAGATTATTCAAGGCAACTACCGCGTGAGTAATCGCGAGTGCCGCATCCTCAAAGGCGTGCACCTCAATTCCGCTCCAGTACACCAATGCATAGGGTACCATCCGAAAAATCAAGACAAGCACGGTGGCTATATTCCTCAACAAGGCGGCTCCAAAGAACAGAAGGGAATGCTTACTGTGACTTCCAACGGCAATTAGAAGGGGTACGATGACGATTTTCCAACGTCTTCCCCAAACTACGTAGCAGCGCCACAACTACAAGATCGCGTAAGCTGACATATTATTCATGGCGAGAATAGGGCATTCACTAAAATAAAATCTGCAACTGCACTGCTAATTCCATTAGCATCAACAAATGTAACCTGATATCAAACGAACCTAGACGTGGCCTTGAGATAAAATTGAGTATAGAACAGGCGGTCAATATCTCTGCTTCTCGTTGGACAACTAGTAAAGAGAGTAAGAGACGGGGACAATTCACGAGCAAGCTTCACACCTGATACACCAAGTCAAGATGTCGGCGATAACACAGACCACATTATCGGCCGTTGAAACGGCGAACAAAATAATAGTCGCAAAGAAAATTGGATTTAAACGAGAGACCCCTGGTCTTTTGGAGAGGATGTGGGTAGAAAGGCCGAACAGCACCGTGTATACGCCTGTGTTATGATAAATTAGTGTTTTGACACTGCTGGCAGGTCGGAACATGAACCATAGCAGAAGAATTGAGCCTATTGCCGTTCAGTCAACTATTACGAGCCATATTATTGCACTTACGGCGGTGAGTGCAACTTGTGCAAGTATTTTGGCATGAGGATCAGAGGCCATTGGATCCGACAATAAATGTTCTGGGAACATGCTCGCTTCTTAAGTGCTTGATTTCTAGGCAGGTAGACTGAAACATGGGCTGTGACTTACCTGAACAGGCATTCAATAGCAATCAATCTCACTGCGAATGAAGTTTCAAATCAGTATCATGTTGAAAGGGAGATTGTAACGAATAGTATGTACTATTCGAATGTTGTACTGACGTTCTGCTAATCGGTGGGTCTGGAAGCGAAATATCAAAGCTGCGGGAAGGATTAGAGGGCCAAAATGCAGACTCTTCATTTACGCTGTCGAGGTCATCCACGTCTGTTTAGAGGGTTTGAGCTTATGCCTAGCTCAATATATTTGTAGTAACCCGCCCTGGAGTCATTAACGTAATCAACATCTCCTGGAAAGACAGCGTGAATACCATCACTTGTTAGTCGGTCCCGAAGTGATGCTTGTACGAAGAACGCGAAACTGAGAAGAAACAGGAAATTCATGGCGCGTGTGGCTGGTCTTGTGGAGATTTAAAGGGCTTTGGGTGACCGAGGTACGTAGTACCAGGCCCATGAATTTCATGTAGCACTCTGGAAAATAGCCAGGAGAATGCCCTGCGACATTGTTGATACCGGTGATGGCTGAAGGAACATAACTGTCAGTAGACCATATTCGCAACCGCAGTTTTCGTGGTTCTCGGAGAACTCCCAGCCTACTGAGATTTCAAAAGCGTGACGTTCCGCGTGATGCTTTTTTTCCTCAAACGAAAACCAATGAGCTTGCGCCGTTCCTGAGCCTCTTCCTCCTCCCGTTCAATTGCATTTGCTTATAGTGGTTTGGTATGGGGTGCCACGTTCCATATTTCAGGTATGTAGTACAAGAGGTGGACATGCAGAGGAAACAGCGTACGTTCAACAAAAATGCTGGGCATGTGCTGCAACGTGACTTGGTTCTCGGAATACTGCCCTCGAATTTTGGCTCAAAACAGCATTGCGAATATGGTCTAGGGTCACACGATGTGTCGGAACACGTTATTCTGCTACACGTGATTCGGATAAAGCCGAAAAGAACCTCCATAGCAGCGCAGCGACTCTATACAACCTCTTCGGAATCTAAGTACTCCAACATGTCGATAATTACTATTTTAGCGCTTATGCAACACTGTACAGTTTAGTATGAGCCTTGCAACATTCCATAGTCGGACTACATAGACCACCAAAGTAATGGTATGCACATGCGCGGGCTGTGAGCCTGGAAACGAGAGATTGTTTTAGGGCGCTGATTCTAAACGTACTCATAATGTCTCAGCCCACCTTGTAACACCGTTTATTCATCAGTAAGATAACAACGAGCATTTCAGCATTTTTACATTTTTGACATTTCTGGCATTTTCGAATGCTGAATGCCAAATGTCGAAATGCTACAAATAATACATATTTTCTTTGTCAAATATGCTACATAATACAATAACGTCTACCGTACGAACTCATACGAGGCATGATTAGCAAATTTATTGATATAAAAGGCACGAAAGGCGTCCAGAGACTCCGAATAGTGGAAGTCCTCAGGTAGTGTATCACTGCCAAAAACAGGGAGGAGATGAACAGGCCGAGCAATGGAGTCAAGGTGGATAACATCCATTGTCCGTCTCCCATCAGGATCATATTCCGGCTCTACCACCCAAAGACCTGTCTCCTCATCAGGAGTATCCATAGATCGCGTAAACCATTCCATGAGTGCGCAAGGATATTCAATCTCCTTATATTTGAAAGAGAAGAATAGCTTGACCCGACCAACTACCATGCCTTCAATACCAGGCTTATCCTCATCAACAGTGACGAAAACGGTGTCGTGCCGAGGATAGTGGCCCAACCAATTGGGATGAGATCGAATGCGTTCCGCGTACATGCCCCCGTTACCGCATGGATCGCTCGGCGAGTAGTATCGTGCAACTGCCGAGTAATAGACATATATCAAAGAATTGAAGTATTGGAAGTGATGCTGCAGGTCGTCGGCACAAGGAACGGGGAGAGTAGGCTGGAAAAGAGCATCGGAAAAGCGCAATGGTTCACCAATGGTATCTCCAATATCATGCAAGTTACGTGACCAGCCTCGTGCTAAATGCAGGTTAGAACATGTAAAGGACTGGGATTGTAAGGCTTACCTGGTTGTGCAGCGAGTTTAACAGAAGAACAATCAGGTGGACCACGTGATGGACCACAGTCCATCTCGTTGCACTCGTCGGTCCCGGAGACAACGTCGGGTAAAGTACCAGCAGCATGGGATAGTGAGCCTGTTGCAGCCAAAGCGGGGTCCTGTATGATTATTGTAATCGGCGTGGCATTGGTCCATAGTCCATCCGCTGTTCCAGGGGAAAGCAGTTCAGGACAAGTTTTACGCATTTGGAAGAAATGACATACAACCACCTAATGAAGATGTGGCAGTGAGAATATGCTCTTATTTGGATTGGATTAGATTAGAACCACATACCAAGATCCATCGGGCCAGTAGACGGAATACAGCGAATTATATATTTTGATTCCACTATCACATACAGCGGTTCTTATTTCCTGAGGAAGCCTGTTACGGACTCGCTATGAGGGTAAACCGATATGACTCACCCGCGCACTACTTGAGGGTAACACCTTTCTTTAACTTTATTACCGTTTAAAAGATAGAGCCGATATGTTCCTGGGACTGATCTTTGTACAACAAGTGCTCAATGCTGTACATTATTGTAAAAAGATGGACTTACGAGCATTGATTCCATCTGAGGTGTTTCCCTGTTGGTAGCTATAAACTGCATTAGCATATCATTGATGTCGTGCACGGACAAGGTGATCTCGTACTTCATACAAAGCATGCTAAGTGAAAATGCAACAGTGTTACAGCAGCACCGATCTGGGTTGAACTCGTTCATAGTGCACAACGGTATTCCCACTGTCGATGCTTACTATCCGCATCGTCGCAGAGATCAGGCGCGACAGATGTTTTGTCGGTACCGTTTCTATGCAGAGTCCCGAGTATATCTACCAATGCTTAGCTTGGCAGCAAGACGATATCATTAAACGTACATTTTGGATTACAAATTTTCCGGAGACGTTCATATGTTTGACCTAGGTGGGATATCAAAGAGCAGTCAAGGGATACGAGCCACTGGTACTGCTTACACGGTGTTTCTCCAACCGTGTTGTGATAAAAATCGAGTTGATATGCACTATCCCTACCTTGTGCATGCGGATATGGACACCACATGTGGGATAGCCCTATGACGACAATTAGATATAAGAGCATGGACTAAACGGTGCAAGGTTTGAGCGTGAAGGTGTCCAGATACTTACTGTGGCTTGTAATTTAAGTCAAAAACCGTGCGAAGATATAACTTTTCTCATTGCCCTCTGTGTGGCGTCTCAAGTTTCGCTTCATGACATGATCGCAGTATTCTTTGTAACTACAGTATTTGATGTATTAGAGCATAGCTATTCTTAGGCTCAGTTCCAGCTGTGTTCACAAGTAACGAGCTGGTTTATATAGTGATGGTCCAGGTAAACGGCTAATGGGAATCCAAAGATTGTAAGGAACACGTGATTGACGAGAAGCCGGTGTAGGCGTCCCAGGACAGCCCCAACCACAGCCATACTTCCAGACGCTTTAACTCTCCTCTCCCCTCCGATAGTATTTCATCTTGCATTACAAAGTTTGAACGTAATTTGAGAACATGACCCTGAGTCCTCAATTCATCCTTCGTCTCGTCCTCTGTAAGGCGCAGACACATTTTCAGTTTATCGTGCTTCCTTATCATTGACCTGCTTGTCTGTATTTACCTAAGACCTGCACTATATCATAAAGCGTCTCGGCCGTAGTCACGAAAATCACCTGTATCTTGTCTTTCCTGTGCATGATACAATGAGCCTTGTCTTTCTTTCTGCTCGAGTAGTCGAGATCATCGGCGTACAAGACACCTTACACCTTCCTTTGACTACCACGACTTGCTCTCTATCACGTAGTCTGACCAAAGTCTGACAATACCTGATACAGAGCACCACATGCTTCCAAATCATTTACACACCGCTTCCTCGCTACGCCTTTCAACTCACTGTTAGCCATTTTGGGACTGCTATGAGGAACAATCACGCTGTTGTCATAGGACAATTCAATTAATGGCTTCAGTGTGGTATACCCCTTCTCGAGCAAGAAGATGCTATCCACAGTGACGTCATTGAACCACATCGTAATGGAGTGGTTTTCATGCCCGCCTCCTATGGTTTGTTGATACCCGTCTACTGCGCCTGACTCAGGTGCTATCGACTTTGAGCTGTTGTGGGTGTGATAATATGATGTATCCAAGATCTGGTGATACTTGAAAGATTCATCTTTCAGATATTGTACATGGAGACAATGTGATGGGCTTTCTCGTGATTTTGCCCGCAAGGGTTGCTCTTACATTGAAGTACACTGGATTGTGAGGCGACACCTTTGGTGAAGTTTGAGTGAAGTACTCCTTGGGATGAGAGAAAGTGGCTCGGGTTCAATTCCATCACGGTGTATAGCTCAATACAGCGACGTACTTTTGTGAGAGACCGGTACTTCACCTGGTATGTATCGAGGCCTGATATATTTCGTCTTTCAGATGTTATGACCTTGATTTCGCTAACAAGCCTTGGACGTGTTGCCGTGACGAGGAGTTACTGTGAGTTCAAACGTTTATGGACAACCATTGGTGAGGTGGTTATGCTTGCCTTCCACGCAACTTTTGTCGGACGTTCTGTAGCAAGCAGTGCGGGTTCGATTCCCGAACGGTGTATAGCCCAATCACAGCTCAGTTCTTTAACGTTGTGATGACTCAGAAACGCGCTGCAAAACTCAAATCACCCAAGGTACTATGGCTAGTATGTAATGTTGAAAAAGATAACACGAAACATGGCATCACGCTACTCAAGAAATCGCCGTTGCACTCTAGAGCTCCACTATCGAAATATTTCCTGCGATGATGAGTGATCGACGGTGAAGCACTACATACTACGCATCTGTCGTAGTGCAATGAATCAATTGCTGTCGTTCATGCTCGTTTGGTCTGCTTCTTGGGCGAGAGGTTGTTGTTCGGTGTTGACGTTGTTGATTCCTCAGAGTACATCAATGTGGCCACTACATCGTTAGCTAAGTATATATCATGCTTGCCTTACTCTGGGATGAGAGCGAGCGGCTCGGGTTCTATTCCAGCATAGTGTATAACTCGACCCGACGAAGATTTTTCTTTTGATACCCGTCTACTCCGCCAAGCTCAGGTAAAATCGAATTTGAGGCGTTTGGTCGTAGAATAATAAAACGAATCTAAGATCGGGTACTATTCGGTCCCTTCGTCTTTCAGATGTTGTACTTACCTGGAGAGAACCTGATGGGCTTTCCGCATCTTGATTTTGTTCACATTACTCTTACGTTACACAGAATGCGGTCTGCGTTGAAGCGTTTGTGAGGCGACACCTTTGGTGAAGCGGTCATTGGGGGAATGCCCTTGGAGCTCAATTCAAACCTGCTTCTCTGTCTCACACCGTTGGTGAAGTGGTTATCATGCTTGCCTTCCATGCGAGTATGTAGTGAAACAAACGTCACGAGCAAGCGGCTCGGGTTCGATTCCCGAACGGTGTATAATCAGAAGAGTTTAAAGTTTTTGATCTAGTTCTGTCTGCCGTAACTAAAAATGAGTTTATGAACGAAGACAAATGGAAAGATATCAAACACCGACAGCCGGAAGATAGTAAATCACGCTCAATGGTACGTTGCATTCTTGGCGAAGTTGCTCTGTGTCAAGGAAGGTTGTGATATTTTGGAGCGAGATTTGTGCGCGTGTGAGGGCTGAGAAGAAATATGACTTGGATAGTAACTTGGACCGTGACGTGAAAGCATACCGAACAGAGTCGGGAGAAGGAATGAACTAGTACTTGGGAACTTCATTTGAGAAGACTGGGGCTGATGAGGATGGATAGGATAGATCGAGGTCAGTGTTGATGCTTTTGAAGTACTCGAAAGCTCAGCTCCCGCTCTCAACATGATTAACATGAAAAAGCTGTTGGTTCTTTGATTTCGGAACGACGATCCGATCCAAGTCAAAGCACGCCAGTCTAAGCAGCCATTCGGACTGGGATACGTACTTGGAGATTGGAAACCAAAACATCGTCCGCTTAACTAGTTTGTGACTTGCCCTCGACCGAAATTCTTCAAACACAATACCAGGATGAAATCCTACCCTTTAGATCTGAATGTTAATACTAATCTCATAGGCTGCGCCCGAGCAGATGCAATAGCTATGCGTGTCTATCGTGGTGTAGATCGTTACCACAGCGTAAGGGACAAATCATGCCATCATGATCGGATAGTGTGTACAGTATGACATACTGTAACCAGTTCCAATGATAATGCACTGGCCTACCAAAATCCTTCGTGATTTGAGATAGGGATTGAAGTCACGCTGTCGAGGTAATGGCGGGTACCTTTGCTCGGCTAATGGAAGGTCAAATCCACTTCAATTATGCTTCATCAGCGAAGAATAAACTCGTTTTGTGGCATGTACTCTCGGGCGATTATTGTGCGGTCGGTCAGGTACAGTTGGCCCAAAGTCCGAGGGGCCGCTAACTTGAAGGTTTGTTAAACCCCACTGCTACACGTGTCTCAGTGTAGAGGGACTCGTCCTGTTATGCTGTTGAGGTGCTGATACTTATCAAGCATATATCGAAGTTCTTCCGTTCCGATACTGTGTTCTCGACACGCGCGTTGCTGTGGAATCTCGATAGGATTGAAATTCCTATCACTTCGTTGGATGCCTGTCTTGGTATCGCTCGTTGAAAGATATTTCTGAACGTCACTGGTCATGATACCTGTTCGTTCGTTGTACTTGCTCGCCGTATGAAAGTATTAGTTCTGGTACGTAACTTCGTTGGATCAATATTCCTACTTGTGTCCTCTGATACACGCATATAGCGTAATACTAATAGAACAACGTGCCTTGTATGCAGCTTGATTTCTTTCTTCGAGCACGAGTAGTTTCAATGACATTCTTTCGGAGAGACTAGCTTGATATATTGCGGATGTTGTGATAATAATATTGATTTTGCTCATACACCAATCTGGTTGTCAGCATGTACCGATATGTTGATTATTTTAACGTTAGTGGTTCAACACCATTGGTGAAGTGGTTATCATGCTTGCCTTCCATCAAGAACCGCTTGTCAATGGAGCAAGCGGCTCGGGTTCGATTCCCGAACGGTGTATAGGTAGACAGAGTAGGCTGTTCGTTTGTTTTTAGTGTTTGTCTGTTGTAACTTGAAATTCAATGCAAGAGACATGCACGTTCAAATACGACTAAGCCCGAACTGAAGACGTGAGGTATCAACGATTACTCAGGCTCGACACATGGGTAGCGTCATCATTGATCTTCGATTCGTACGAGCATGGGTTAGATAGTGAATAATACGACAGCAAGCCATGGAAGGTCAGAACGAGGATTGAGGTAATCCGAGTGCAATGATAGGCTGGAATTGATGTTTTTAAAGTACTCGAGCACAAAAGCTGGTTCTTTGATTTTGGAACAACGATCCGAGTCAAAGCGCGCCAGTCTACAAAGCCGACGAGCGCTGAAAATCATTCACCTTACTAATTTGTGGCTTTCCCTGGACTAAAATCGTGCAAACACTAGATACTGAGTGCCCGTGCATATGGAACAGATCATTACCAAGGTAGATCACGCAACATGGTCGAGTGGTGCTACATATCATAGGCATGTACTCTACAGTACTATAGCCAGTCACAAGGATGATTCGTTGGCCTACCAAAATCTTTCGTAGACGAAATGGGGAAAGAGCTTACATCTAACCTCATCTCCGAGGGTAACTGCGAGGAGCTTACCTATTCCACAATCATTGAAACAAGTATTCACGCACATGTGGCTCGGAACACTGCATCGGCGAAGATAAAACTCCTGATACACGCAATCTACTCTCCGATGTCGATGGAACGACTTTATAGATAGATTCTTGCAGTCGGGTTAGATCAGAAGCAATATTGGCCGAGTCATGTTGCATAACACTTGCTGCCTTGAAGCGGGATTGCAACGGTAGCACAAGTTGGCTATCAATGACATGGGGTAGACTCATGAAATACACGTACGGTATCAGCAGATTGCCCCTGCAAAGGCTCGGACTTGCGACCTCAGTATCACGTCGTAGTAATCGACGTGATATGCAGTGGTACGAGGCTTGCATTCCAATTTCTGGCCAACTGATCAAGCAAAGGAAGCGTCGAGAGAAGTGCGGAGGCGTGCCTGGGATGACGTCATGTAACCCTTCGCCCTGAAGCATTAGTTCGGTTCTTTTCCTTTCTTCGACCACGACCACGACCATGACTTGCAGCCGTTCGTCTCTTTCATCTGCCCTATCAACGATATGAAGTTCTTGGAGGTACGTCTTTTTCGTCTTGCTTATTGTCCAGTTGCTTATCTTGATGAGCTCCAGCTTCAACCACGATGAACGTTCTCGGGTGCAGGTACGCTTTCGTTATCTCCCTCGTTGATTTGTTGGCTCACTGGTTGAACCAGGTGACCTCCTCCCGTTTCATTCGACCCGACGACACCTCCGCCCAAGACTTTCTGCCTTATCACGCTTCCGAAGTCTGAAGATCCACAACCAAGAGCTTCATCTTTCCGCTACCCAGTCCATCATCCGCATCCTTTCAACTATCGACCTACACTCGACTCCACTCGCGTCCGTCAAGCTACAGCTATCGTCTGGAAGGATCAGTTACCTGGTTAGTTTGGGGTACAGGGTTGTATTGTGAGGGATGCTACCGAGTTGACGACGCTCCGACGTCCACACCTTTGATCGCAAGAAATGGCTAGGATGGCTGGGGTTGGGTGATTAAAGGGGAGGAAGAGGAAGACTAACACGGCAACTTATCGACGCGAGAACATCCTTTCCGCCTCCACATCCCACCAGCTCTCGTTGACCAAACCATCACCTATACCCCCGCGATTGTGCATGCGTATTCTCTGCGCCCGGGCGATGGGTCAACGAACTGAAGGGGTACGTTGCGTCTTCTTTCCTCTCCCGGTTACGGGTTCTTTAGTCTGACATATTATACCAGCGTTGATCTCACTCTCAAGACACTTCCCGGGTATGGAATGGGAAATCGTGTGTTTAGGTTCGGGTTAACGGGGAATATCTTGTTTCTCATGTCGGCGGTTCGATGCTTGATTTTAGGTTTTCTGTTCGTAGTCAATCTCATGTTGCCAAAGTCCGAGGATAATTGATTATACATCCCATTAAAAGCTGAACACCGTTGGTGAAGTGGTTATCATGCTTGCCTTCCATTCCATAGAGTTGAAAAGCAGAGCAAGCGGCTCGGGTTCGATTCCCGAACGGTGTATGCGACCCTCGCTTCTAGTTCTTTTTAACCTGTCTTCATCTGTCCTTGACTCTGATCATGAAGGGAATGCAGGGATCTTCATTCGACGCATATCAATCTTTCTTCTTCCGACACCTCAACTCCCGCCCAAAACGTGCTCGTTTTACACACAGATCTGTCTTTGAGGCGAGACGGTTCCACGCTTCCAACTGGGAGTTTCTCAATGTGTACTCTACTCAAGGTGTGTCGGGTGAGAGACGAGCGACAATGAGCAATTACAGAGTGTACAATGTACCCATCCATTGTTGGCGTTCATGGTGCTGGTAAAGAGGCTAATTTTGTGAGGTCAAAGTGATTGAATGTGAATTCTTGTTCTCGACGTTTCCTATGTCATTTCCAAGCGTAATGTGAGCTGATTGCTACAAGGCGACGGTAGGTCAAAGTAGTTGGCCGGTGGCTTTGGATGATTAACTTGCATATCATGAATGGAGCAGGATGTACTAGGATACTGATAACGCGGAACCCCGGCGAGTATGCGCTACCAACTCAATTGCATCCTAAAAATCGCATTAATGATAGAAGACGCACGGGTGTTCTGACTTTAGTCTTGGAATAGATGAGGAATAACCAAGTTGTGCCTCATACCTCGCTATACCGTTGACTCAGATATAATTGGGTCAAGGGTGGAAACGAAGAAAAAATGCATGAAAAAGAAGGGTGTGATACGATACCCAAGTTACCAACCAAGCGCACCGTTGGTGAAATGGTTACCTCGATGCTTGTCTATCTGCGCAGGCTATGCGGGTTCGATTCCCGAGCGATGTAATGGTGACGAGTACGATTTTTCCTAGCGTTTCTGTCATAACTCGAAAACGCGCTGCAAGATGGATATGTATAAATAAAATAACCGATCACCCAACGTTTTTGAGCATTATTGTGGACCAAAAGCATTCAAACACTGGGACGAAAATCCTACGCTCGAGATCTGGGTGTTGATATTAAGACGGAGCAGAAACCCCTGGAGCTGTTCATAGAGGCTTACATGGCGTAGATCGTTAACACAGTCTTTCCCTCGCTCTTGATCTTGCCCACTGGCCATAATACGCACCCGTACGTTCTTCCCCTCTTCATACATCCACACGTCCAGTTCAAGACGGCGCGTGCCTAGGATGACGTCATGTAACCCTATGCCCTGGATCAGGTCATTTGTTTTCTTTCTTCAACCACGACCACGACTACCAACCTTTGCTGACCTAGAGGTAAGCCTATTTCGTATTTTTCATCCACGTGTGCCTCATGAGATGACTTTTCAGAACATACTAGAACCACGTAAGTCCTGATGGTTTGACGATTGAAGGTACGTCTTTCTCGTTTTTCTGATGTTTAGTCGCTTGTTTTGATGAGCTCCAGCTTCGACCACGGTGAATCAGTGAACGTTCTCGGGTGCAGGTACGCCTTCGTTATCTCTCTCATCGATTTTTTGGCTCAACCACATCACCCTTCCGAAGGCTGCAGTATAGAGAACATCTAGCAATACTTCATCCTTCCGCTACGCACTCCACCATGAACATTCTTTCAAATACCGACCTATACTCCCCAGCCATACCGACTACACCCACATTCCCTCTGCGTCGGTCAGGCTACAGATGTCGTTTGGAAGGACTGGTTACATGGCTAGTTTGGGGTAGAGGGTTGTATTGAGGGATGCTCCCGAATTGGCGACGTTCCGTCGTGTTCCTTCTATCGAAGACACCACTCCCATCTTTTCGTCACTGGATAGAGCGGCCGTTTTGGGGTGAGAGGAACAACGCGTATTCATCTCCCGCAACACCTACACCCACTCCTCCGTGTTTCCCCTTGATTGCAAGAAATGGTTAGGATACCTGGGGTTGGGTGATGAGGAGGAGAGGTCCGAGAAGGCTAACACAGCAACTTATCGACACACGAAGTCATCGAGAACATCCTTTCCGCCTCCATCGTTGCAAATACATCACACCTAGCAACGCCCACTTTACCGTCACCTACACCCCCGTGATTGAGCATGCATACCCTGTGCGCCCGGGTGAGCGGTTGAGAGGATGGGTAAAAGACCCTGTGGTTCGAACTGAAGGGGTACGTCTTCTTCCTTTTCGACGTCACGAGTTCGTTAATCTGACATACTGTACCAGCGTCATATCCGCCAGATCTCACTTTCAAGTCAATTCCCGTTAAGAGGAGGGTTGTTAGGGGTTAGGGTGACGGGGAAGATCTTGATTCTCATATATGCTCGGCTCTAGGCTTTGTTATTCGATATCGTAGGGTTCTCAATGTGATGTAGGCAATGAAACCACGATTCAGGAGCATACACCGTTGGTGAAGTGGTTATCAACGTTTCTCCACTTAGAGTTCAAGCAAGCGGCTCGGGTTCGATTCCCAAACGGTGTATGCTCCAGATCTCTGCTTCGGGTATTTTTGGTAGTGAACATCTTATCGAAGATCTGAACAATAGGTGATTCGTTGGCCCTTGAACGGGAGACGATTCAGTGCTTTTGTAGATAATCAAGGGACTGGAAAATCCATTGACGGTTAATTGTATGTTCGGTTTCCCCGGCTGGTTCTGTTCTCCCTTGTCATGCCTTTGGTACAGGGAAACTAGACGTGAGTAACGATGATAACACCGTTGGTGAAGTGGTCTGCGAATCTCAGCCCAAGCAGTTCGGGTTCAATTCCCGAACGGTGTATTATCAGCATCGGATGTGTTTTTTGCTCGATGTTAGTGCGGATTCTGCTTATGAGCGTGATTTAGGTGTTTCTCTTACCGCAACCACGCATTGCAATAGACCTCGTTGATCGTTCTTTCTTCTTCCGACACCTCAATTCCCGCTTAAAACGCACCTTCCTCGACTTCTCTGACATCAATGATCTTTCGACTTGTTAGACCCCTGCTGGTGCATATCAATGCCGAGATATCCGCGAGATCTATGTGACCTTTGTCGAGAAAACCATGTCTTCGAGGCGAAGACGGTGTTGATCAGATTCCGCACTTCCAATTTGGAATTTCCTAAATAAGATTGAATATAGCTCCGTGTGGGTGCGCGACAATGAGCAAATATCAGAGTGCATGGCTGATCATAGATGGACCATTGATCCATGGACAGGGCTTAGTAAAGAGAGGGGCCATGTTATCTTCTTTTTTCAGTAGGCAGACTCATTAGTCTAGAGTGAACGTTTGTGTTGATAACACTACGTCTGTTCGCGTAGGCACCTCATTGCACACCGTTGGTGAAGTGGTTATACTTGTCTTCAACGGGAGAGCCCGGGTTCGACTCCCGGACGGTGTCTCAGCTTCATCATCTTCAAAACTTTTTGTTCTCAACTATTGGTTGGTCCGGCTTCTGAGTCAAGTATAAGCCATTCAATTCCGCTCATTACCTCCACCCACGCTTTTAGCCGGCATTTCTCGACTCTTCTTCGTCAATCGTCTCGTTGATGCTTTCCCTTCGCATTCGCGCTCTGAAGTTTAGAGGGAGGGGGTCTAATTGAGCCCGATACATTTTAGGCCAAAGCACGGATAAGGATGGTGTTAGCCGAGAGCGTTGATGGAGTATCGAGGCGGTGTTGAGTTTGATTCTGATATGGTATGTTCTTTTCCTTTCTTGGTTTTCACATGTTACTGTACCCGCGGGGTTTGTAGTTTTGACATGTTGAAGGAGAGATCGACGGTAGTGTTCATCCCGCTGTCAATGCTGTTCCAGTCAACTCTACCGCTTTCGGTCGCAGGAGTAGTCTCTTCACGTTCCGACGTTACGCAAGCACCGGCGATTTACTCCCACCTTGGGACAATAGTGTATTTGGATTCGTGGATGGGTAAGCTGTACAGTACTGCGGAAACGCTAAACCAGAAATTATCGTTAGTTGCTGCGCTGCTATGAATACCGGGTACAGCTGACGTTGAAAAGTTCTCTTCGGCATCATCCGAGCCATGTGTAGCAGATCAGCATCAGCAATGTCGCGGGGCTTTCTCCCGCCTCCTTTCGTTGGCGACAATGCGATGAATGGGTTGATGAAACATCTGGAAGGTGTTAGATTTGATTTTGACGACGCGCGTTGCTAGTGGTATATTTTGATATTGTATTACCCGTTTTGGGCCGTTGAAATGGAGATCTATCGCGGTGATCCACTCGAATCCACGGCAGTTAGGAGGCGAAATAGTATTTTCACATTCCAGCTTTATGGAAGTACAGACGAGAGACCACCTCCATGGGACGATAGCATATTCGAGCTTGTGAGTGGGATAGTGGATGAGCTCGTGGTCAATATGCCAGATGATTGGGGATACAGGTGAGTCCGTCTTTCTTTGTTTTTTGGTGAAGGTTGACCTTTGATCTTAAGGATCCTCAAGAACGTACGCTAATTACATTGATGCCAGGCTACCCAATTGCGCATCCATCTTCCTTTTTTAGCTTTTCATTGTCTCAGAATTACAGGGCAGCATCGACCCACTATCCACGTTTCCAGAAACAAGAGGGAACTGGATCCCGGGAATGTATACTTCAACAGTCCATTGAAGGTGTCTAGGAGCAGGGAGTCTTTGGTCGAGTAAGACTGTTCTCGTGAGATGCCGTACAGCTCACAAGTAACCTTGCGCGAACCAATCAATTACAAACTGCTAGTTACGTGCTTGCTGCCACATTATGAGAGCTAGGAACCCGGCCAAGTTACCTCTCAATGTAGACACCTGTCAAATACGCTTATGTGAAAACTCTCGGCTAATTTACATGATGGATCTTAGTACTGGGAATGGTCAACCTCGACATCCTTTCCTGTATTAGAATTTTCGGTAACATTCTTACTCTTTCTTCATGACTCAAATTGTAGTATTTGAGTAAAGATGTACATTAATTCTTTTATTTTTCTGTCACCCTGGTAATCATAATATCTGAAGTACTCTGCCTTTACTGTAAGATACCTCTAAGCCTCGACAGCGCTGATGCTATCATGTCATCCTTATTACATTCGGCGTTCAAGAAACTTACTGTCTGATTTCTCGCCTCCGAACTTACCGCCACGCGGAATCCGTAGTCGCATTTACAACATTGGACAAATTCCTGCTACTGAGTATCATCTTTCCCTTCAACATGATACTGATTCGCAGTGAGATTGATCGTCGTCGAATGCGTACACAGGTAAGTCACAAACCGTGTTTCTATGCCACGTGTCTAGCAACAGAAGTATTTAAGGAGCGAACATGACCAGAGCATGTTTTCCCAGATTCAATGGATTTGGACCCTAACGCCAGAATACTTTTACAAGTTGCACTCACTGCTGTAAGTATAGTATTGTCGGTCGTGCTACGGTTGACTAAACACTACCAGGTTCAATTTCTCTGTTACGGTTCGTGTTTTGACTTGGTTCTGGTGAAAGAAAAAAAGCTGATTGCATTGAAATACAGGTGTATATGTAGTGCTGTTTATCCTCTGCACACACATCCTCTATGAAAGACGCGGAGTCTTTCGCTCAAATCCAGTCTTGCTTGCAACCATCATTTTATTCGTGCTTTCAACGGTGGATACCACGGCTTCTGCCACTAGCGATATCTTGACTTGGTGTGCTAGGTATGACGCTTGGTTAACAATCTACGACACACCCTCAATACCACGATAGCTGTCAATCAAAGGATCGAGACGTTCGACTTAAACGGCTGTTCTGTTTCCAGTTTTACAGTAAGGCCATGACTAGGTGCGTGACTTGCAGCCTGACCATAATATTCGGTCGATGTTAATGAAATTAGTAGTGCGGTTGCAGATATTATTCTAGTAAGCACCCTGCTCTCACCAGAAAAGTTATGTGGTGATGAATGCGAGCTTTCAGTTATGGCGTTGCTACGCAGTTTGGGGAAGACGTTGGAAGATTGTGGTCCTGCCACTGCTCTTGTCCCTTGGAAGTCACAGTAATGTACTTCCCTATGCTCTACTGATTCCGTTGCTCACATAGTATCCAGTCACTTTCTTGATTTTGATATACGGCATCATACCCGATTTGTCGGTAGACTACGTCGAAGTCGAGGTACATGATTTTGAGAATATATCCTGGCCGATTGCTATCTTGGCCGTTGGGTTGAACAACCTTCTACTTTCGTCTCTGATAGGCGCGTTATTTCAAATGTGCATTTCCGATTATAGTTCGCTCACAGCAATCAATTGCAGCCTTCCGTATAATTTATCTGAAGCGCGAAATAATGACATACCTGGATTTAAGGTCGAGGAAAATGTACAGCACGGTGATTGCCGCAACGTGAGTGTCACGATCTCTTTGTCGGTGATATATCGTGAACTATCACTAGGCTTGAATCTGGATTAATCTATTCGCTCGTCGTCAGTCTTCCCGCGATTATGGCCATTGAATTCATTTCGTCCAGATCCACAGCGCATGGATACACTGATTTTTATGTCAGGAGTTGTCTTGCTACCATATTTATGCGCTGTTGGCCAGCCATCGCAGTGAGTGCTTTTGCGCCCGTTGATCATTGGTGAATCTGAAGCTGTCATGTTGGTAGGGAATCGCTTCAACTGCAATCGTTGTCCGTGTTGCTTGTGCCACGAATATCTCTCGGTCCACAGAAACAGTAGAATATAATCCCTAGATTACCCTGTTCCAACAACTGTAAATTCACCTGCCTAATTCTGAAGACTTTCTATACCTGAAAACACACTTGAGAGTGTATTTTTTCCTCATCGTTGGCGTAGCAACATTGCTCTGGCAAGAAGACATGGGAACAGCTTGTACACTATACAGGGTATAATGAGAATCGATCGATGAAAGTTCCTCATCGAATGTCAATTGCGAGTCCTTTGAGGTTCTCGAAAGCGATCTGTTCAACACGTCGAAGGAGTCAGGGAAGGTAATTGTCAATGGGGCCGGGACATCGGAATTCATTAAGAAATTCAATTCCCATACAGCCACTTCAATACCGGGGGATTGTGGATTACGAACGGGACCATGAGAAAGAGCTCAGGGTATGTCGTGTTATGTTGATTACAGATATCTCTGCTCACTGGTGATTAGCCTGGACCACAATGGACTGGAAGCGGAAGTTAAAAATACGCATCTCAGGACGCCATTAATTCGGGGGATAAATAACGTAGACTGTCACTTCAATTCATGCATTAGCACTTGAGTAACACTAGTTAAGTAACATGAGACTTTAAAATTCCGAATGACATTCAAGTAACAGCTGAGTAACAGTTGAGTTACGCTGCGTCTCTCAAGTAACGTTACTCAATTGTTACTCAAAAATGTGTAGGCCCGCCATCTTGTGCTTAATCGTAAGTGGAGATCAACGATACACAGTGTCACGTCGGATGTTAATTTTGGGATAGAATGTGCCGAGTTGTGCAAGGGGTTTGGTACAAGGTTGGCTTGGGGTGTTTGAAAAGTGGATGCTG